TGCTGTTGTTTGATGGCAATGGGCAACAAAAGGAATCCCCAGAGTCAAACCTTTTGAATTTTCATTGACATTGACTTGAAGATTCTGACCTTTTTCTTCATTAACCAGACTACGGTCAGCTAGACTGGTTACCTGGAGTTTAAATTTTCTGAAGGAATTGGGGAGTTAGCTGAGGATTGTGATATTGTTGGAGTAGACCTATATGGACTTGGTGTTCTGTATTTAAACTTGAAGGGAGATGGAGATCTAGAGTTGCTAAATGTTTGATTTGACTTGTTCTGTATTGTTGAATTTTGAGTGCTTTTGAATGGACTGTTGGATCTGAAGGGTTGACCATAATTTATGGGACTGTTTGACCTTGACCTAGATTGAAATCTTGGTGCATTTCTTAGAACCCCACCATTGGAAAATTTGTCATCTAATGTTTGCTTAATACTGAAGACCATATCTGTAAGTTTTGAAATTTTGTCTTCCATTTGTTCTAACTTTTTGGTTTGTTGCATTGGTGATGGTTCAAATGAAACTTGTCTGTGATAGTAGGACTTGCTAGCACCATAAACAGCTTGCTGGTTAGCAATTGAAGTCCTCATAAGGTCTAGAGCTTCATGGATGTCTTTGGGATTCTTTTCCATAACTGTCCTAGCAGCTTCTTTATCTCTGCACCCTCTAAGGAAATTTTCTGTTGAAATTTGGTTGACTGCTTTCTTGCCTGATTCTTTGTAACCATCAATGGTGATGAAGTGAACTCTTTGTGCAAACTGTTGGAGTGATTCATCCTCATGTTGTTTCATGTACTGCAGCTTGCGTCTAGCTGAGATAGGGTTCTCTTTGGTATTGAATCTCCTGCTCATTTCCTTCTTGATCTTTTTGTAACTGTCTAGGTTAAGCTTACAGACATATTCTAAAGCTTGTCCATCTAAGCTACTAAACAATTTGTCAGTACGCTTCTTTTTTCCCCAGTCATGCCTGTCAGCTACCCTTTCAAATTGTGTGATGAATGTATCCCAACTGATGTTTCCATCACCACTAAATGTTTGTAATTTTGGTGTTGGACTGCGACTTTTTTGTCTGTGTCTGCGTCAGTGATGGTGTCTGTCATAGTCAGAGTCACTACTGGAGGAGGAAGATGATGATGACCGTGAAGATGAGGAGGCCTAGGAGGAGGAGGATTGATACCTTGTTTTTCTATGATATTTCCTACCTCTTGTGTTTTCATCATATGTTTTGTCAAACATATTTGATTTTGAGTGAATATGTGTGTCTTTTGTATCATGTATTTTGCTTTTTCTGTTTTTTTTGTTTCTGATTGTTTTCTGTCAGATGATTTTCTTGTGTATATGCTATCTGCTGGCATTGCCCTTAACCATTTTCTCTGTTGGGCTTCTTGTTCTAATGCAAACTCTGCTTTCTTTCTTCTCTCTGTCTCAGCTTGCAATTCCTCTTCCTGTCTCTCTAATTTCACATTCAACTCTCTCATGCTAGTATCAAGATCTCTCATATCATAGAACAAATCTGACTGTAAGCTAGTAGCTCCCCCAAAGGAAACCATTTGATTTTCTTCCCACTTTTTCCATTGTTTTTCTGGTATATCTGTATATTTACCAAGGATATTTGCATTTAACTCGTATCTTTTCCTAACCCCTATTACATCAGTAATGGTGCGATGATCTAGGATCTTTATACATTTCAAATTCAGAAGCTGTTTGCATGTTGATTGGAGCCATTGTGAAATCGGTAATTTATCAAAGGGGAAAAAATACCACCAAGGAAAAAGAAACTAGTTGTGTAAACAACCAGTGATTGTAAAATGAAATAAATTGTTCAACCAAATATTCAGTAAAGAAAAAATAATAAATCGAATTGTGTTTTGTTTTGAATTTGGCGCCAAACGCTCAGTGACTACGGTAAACAATGTAAATTTCACTTGATCAGAAAAAAAAATATAATCAGTTTATCCTCGTCGCCAATGTTGTATAATTCTATATAATTTGTACAATTATTCTTACCAAGGGTAAGATGGCCTCAAACCCGAAAACACCGGACAGGATGGAGATACGTCTGCACTCTTCAGTGTCGGATAAAGGAAAGGCACTAAAAATAGGTGATCTGTAATCACATAGACCACAGACCAAACCCCGAACCCGATATAAATAAACGTATTTATACTACATTATGTATGATGGGTGATCAAGGTGTCAAGACCGGCTACTGAAATATGGTCATGTAATACATGCAGTTTTTACGGCTTGAAATCACGGTTATCGTAAAAGGGCTTGATCATCTCGTGAATTTTCCGAGAACCCTTAGTCTTATTGTGGGCGACCGATAGGATTAGCTACGCCCCGCTGCACACGCTGTGATTGTGTAATACATGTACACGTGTTTGGTTAGTTTCAACTTATCAGCTGAGAACGCAACCATTTAATTCTTTTAGCTTTATAAAAATGACTATTGTACGTTGACTTCTTTTAGAATGATGAACAGAGCTGTTATCCATTTTTTCATACAGGCCCATAAGTCTAACAAACAGAGGTGGTGATCAATATCGTTAATTCAAATATTCGGGATTATTGTAAATAATATTTGAATATGTTGGAAGAGGTATTTTGGCGTGAAATTATGTGTTTTCATTTTTTTTCAGTAATACATGTATATACATTGCAATTTTCAATTCGAAAAAAAAAACCACTGCCGTGATACTGTATGAAAAAACTGTTATGATGAAAATATAATATAATAATAATAATATAAATCGAATCGATATTTACTACAATAAAAAAAATATGTTGAGTTATAGATCTCCACAATATAATTCAGGTTACTTATTAGAAATTACAACAATGGTAATATTTTGATAGAATAAATGCCAAGTATCATTCAAATATCACCCTTTAGACTGAAAAAAAAAGATTTTATAAATTATTTCTAGAATTTTAAAGCTATATATGGCGTATCTGAGTTAAAAATAAAAATACGAGATTGAGTGTAGATGAACATGATATTTGTTATTTACGTTCAAATTAAAATTTTCGCCGATTTTGAACTTGAATAACCCCACGTTTCTATAGCTAAATTGACTTTAAACTGTGTCTGATTGGTATAAAATAAATCAGTTATTGTTTTAAATTTCTAATATCTATAAAACGCGATTGATTTAAATTCTGTAATTTACAAAAAAGTCCTATCTTTATATAAGGTAATAAAACAAATAGAAAGACCTTTTTAATTTTAGTAAGCCTGAACTTATCAAAAATATGCCATCTATGACTTTAACATGTTTAAGCCAGATTTAAAAAAAACGATCTTAAATATTCACAATTTAATATCCTTACTTTGACATTAAGGATTATCGACTTCACATTGAGTAAAATACGGTAGAGCACACCGTCACGGTAATCTCGTGTCCCCGCGATCACCGCGATGATAAAACCGCGACGGTGTATCGCGGAAAGGATTAAAACACCATCGCGGGGGCGCGGGAAAATACGGGATCCGCGTTGACCGTAGTATATATATATATATATATATATATATATATATATATATATATATATATATATATATATATATAATGATTCTCTGTATGTGGGATATGATCCATTTTCGGAGGATGTTATTTCCAATGAAATGCTGCGATATTTCGAAGAGAAAACCCGTGGATGAACAGTCTTTCCATCCTTGTTCAGAGGGACAAGATGCTCTAAGAGTGTCAGTGACTCTGTTATCTGAAATGGGTACTTTTTATGGATTTTGGCAAGATCCGCGCCTCGGAGACGTCCGACACGATGCGTCTTCTTTATTTTTTGTTCTGATTAACTTAAGTTTGAAACTCAATACAGATTTCGAGATGCAAGACATTTGAAGATTTTAAATATAAACGAAGCACAAAAATCTGTCAATTTCGTTCAAGATTCTGTTTTGAATGCTCCTTGAAATATAAGATTGATAATCACAACATTATTCATAAAATTTGTGTTTTACATTTCCATGCAGGTGTTTGCTAAAGAAGCCTTTCTTTTCCTTATCTTTGTCCATCGATGCATTCAAAATTATGAAAAAATAACCTGATTTCAAGTCTCTCGTCACATCAAAACTATTTGCTTTAAAAGACATATAGATGCTCTAAACGAACGTACGATTACAAAGCATGCCATACGTATGACCAATTTTAAAACGAAGTAAATTATTGACAAATAAGTTCTACGGTCGGTACAGTGACCTTGTTAGCAAATACAATCTATCACTGAGACAAACCTGACTAATGTTTTTCATACTAATTTTTAGGCCATTATTTACACACTGAATTGTCGACGGATTTTTCCATTATTTCCCGATCATGATAAGGAGCACACGGCGAGTGTGACCGGTTGGTATGGGATGCTTACTCCTCCATTTTACCTTATCCCACCTCTGATGTTTTAGAGTCCGTGTTTGCTCTGTTCCTAATATGTATTGTTTGAAGAGATTTTAAATTTTGAGCTTGAATGCTGTTCCTTATCTCCATATACTGTAGATCACCAAATTTTCGCGACACCTTATTTTTGCGAGATTTGTATTTTGTATTAATAAGCGAGAAAATTTCGGGTAATGTTGTTTATAATCTATACTACAAAACATTACGCGAGAATGGGGTATTGGCGGGTATTCTAGAGCAGTTCATTTGCATAATAACGCAAAAATAAAGAAAAAGTGATTTTTAGTGTTATACATTGAAAACAAAATAAGGTGCACAAACAACACAAAAACCTGACAATTATATATATATATATATATATATATATATATATATATATATATATATATATATATATATATATATATATATATATATATATATATATATATATATGTGTATATATATATATATATATATATATATATATATATATATATATATATATATATATATATATATATATATATATATATATAGTGTGTACATAAACATAAGATTTGTCTTTTCTATAATGAAAGTACAGTTTTGGAAAAAAAAGTTTTACCTTTATAAAAAATCTGTTCCATCGGTCTGATATTGAGTCATCTTTTAAAATTAAATCGGAAGTGAATTGCTGTTTTAGCGAGGCGTCCATTAAAGTCTTTATCTCGCTATAACTCTAGTGAAACGTGAAAAAGATGTTCGTTAATTAAATAACATCTTTAAGATCACCAAACACGATTTAATCGTTAAAAATGAAAATGAAAATTATTAGCTCCATACAATATATGTTTCTTCTGTTTTGGAATCCTTTATTTCATCGTGCCTATATAAAAGCAGGGAGCCGAAAATCAATCCTGATAAAGCGATCTATTTGAAAAAAAGTGATATAAAATAAACAGAATATGTCAAAGAGTAGCAATATCAATGAATCTTACTAAGCATTCTATAAATTGCATATGTACTTACTGTGAAAACATGTATTGCTACAAATGTGCGAATTTGCTCCTTAGGTGTGATCAACTTGAACATCAAAACCAAATGAAGCCAGATGACATCAAAAACGAAAGATAATATACTTATAATCCAAATATTTTCCAAACTATTTTTGACATCCTGGTATTTACACTGAAGAGTAAAATTGACTTTGAGAAATTGCAGTGCTTCGTCAACTTCACAGGATTTGTTATCGTCTTTATTTTTGCTCAGGGAGAACAAGTAAACTGCTACAGCCTGATGAAAAGGAATAACTGATTTAAATGATGCTTAGTGAAGCGGAATTTATTTCATTGAAAGTGAAATATGTGTTTAGAATAATCTTGAAAACATCGAAGACATTTCCAGAAAAGATATGTATTTGTATATCAGAATGAAGAAGTATAAATCATTTATTAAATTACTTGAAACAAATGTTTCGATATTCAAAACAACATCAAGATGCTACTCGCAACAAGGCCCTGAAAGACTCTTTTATGTAAAGAAATGTTAAATTTGACGAAATTGATATGAGGCAGTCACTCAGGATAGCGTTAAGGGCCAAAGTTGTATGTACGAAAAAAGATTCAAGATATGAAAGAAATTCTGTATATTAGGTGATAAGCTAATTTATACATTATAAAATTTTATTTTTACTTAGGTTGAAATGGATGTTTTAAACATGAATAAATTGTCAACATATACAATCTTTTAAAAAAAACTTGAATAAAACATATTTACCAACATCAGGATGATGAAAATTGTGAAAAAATTTAAAATATAATTTGCATCCATTTTGTCCTATAAAAAAGAATTAGTGAATATACAATATAATAATATAACATAAAATAAAATAATGTTATATAATATAATGTAAAATGATATAATAATTTTAAAATATATGCTGCAATTTAAGGTGATCAGTTTAAACCAGCTTTTATGATTTATGGTTTGATATATTTCAATATAAAATTTTATGTGCTTTTTACTTCTTTTAGATTCAGGAACTCCTTCTTGGCACGTTGAATACATGCAATTATCTTCTTAATCCCCTTTTTCTAAATTGTAGAAATATTGAAAAATATGAAGAGAAAATATGTTAGCTATACTTATGGCAGCTCTCTGTATTATTATTATTATTATTATTATTGTTGTTGTCTTTCCTTTGATTTGTTTGAATCAATTTTATTTTTTTTTCATTTTGCTTATTGTTCAATTTAAAGTTTTTATGCACAGATACACGCAACTGTTTTTACTTGATTGTGAACATAACACTCCTTTATTCCTTTGTCAAAATTTTCGAATGAGGGTTTTAAATTGATTTAAATATTTTATACATACATACATTTTATATATATATATATATATATATATATATATATATATATATATATATATATATATATATATATATATATATATATATATATATAATACAATCATTGTTGTTTTTGAGGTCAATACGATGATTTAGCCACCTGAGGAGTACGATATTAAAAGAGCCCGAAGGGCGAGGTGAATATTGTTTTTCGAAGGTGACTAAATCATCACATTCACTGAAGAAACAGCAATAATTGTTTTATCATATGATTTGCATTCTCTGAAGAAACAGTGATAATTGGTTTATTATACGATTCAATGATTAAATGATAAATATTCCAGAAGCAGTTCATGCAGTCCTAGCCAAATGCAATGAGAGAAGCAGGCTTAAATAGACATTACCAATCCTATTAATTTGGAATTTTTTTTAATCTGCTTTAGTTGCTATAAGAAGGATATAATGTCAGGCTGTTTTACAGGGTCGATTTTAAAAACGGGAGCGGGGGGGGGGGGGGGGGTATTATCAGGGAAAACTGACAGCTGAAAAAAAATCTTTAATAAGCCCCCGCGAAAAGAGAATTCTCTTGATTCAAATTTTGTTTTGAAGTTGGGGTTGGGTAAGGTGTGGATTATTAAGGTCCATTAGTGGGGGACCAGCCTTTCAATAAATATTTTAGTCTACATAAAATAAACGTAACAAATTTTGTTCAAAAAAGTTGAAAAAAGTTTGGGGGGCTTACATCCCCTCCCACAATTATATATTTCCTAATGTGATGTTCACCTGAGGAGGTTACTTTAGATTTGAAACGGTGGCTATAAAATGCACATGTTTATGCATTCATTAAGTAGTTGTTACAAGGCTCACATATTTTTACTTTCTTTCATTCCAATGATTTGTTTTTAAATTTTACTATGGATTATAGTTTTGTGATAAATTGTGAAGAGGGAATCAATTTAATTTATACAGCTGGGGAAATGAGGGAGGGGGGGGGTAAGGACACACATATAGTTTTAAGAGTATTCTAAAGGTTGAGAGGTGACGTAAATATCTTGTTTTTGTTCAATTTGGGTCTGATACACTCCGAACTTTTAGTACAACTATAACCAATACTTGCAAAGATAGTAGGTAAGTAATACGATAAAATAAACCAACGGGGCGGGAAATACATTGCAGGTAAGGATACACAATTTTAGATTAAACGGGGAGTTGTTTTATACTGACAAGTCCATAATTGCATTTAAACACATTTGTTAAAACAATTATAATGGAATAGGTGAATGATCGTTGACGATTTAAATTCATATTGTGTTTTAATGCATTGAATAGTAATTGACTAGTAAGTCACTTGTTTTATAAGTTTGTATTGTTGAATGAGCAGGCCCTGGTCGACGGTGAGGTACTGCCGCCGTCACCATGGTTCTTGGCACCCCCATTGGTGGCGGTTGCAGTTCCATGATTACTCGTGGTAGACACGAGTATTCATGGCCCTTGCAAGTGGCGTATTCCGTCGCACCTCAACGCAACTGGAGGAGTGCAACACATATTCTTACGCTCATTCCATTGTTTATCTTATTGCACATGTAAATTGAAATTCAGGATTTGAATTTGTGCATTGGCTTGTAATTGACAAGCAGTTGACTTGATTGATATTGAAATGATTGATGATTGATTGAACTTGATTGATAATTGAATTGGTGACTTTCATGCACTTGTGACCTACCCAGTGCATGATCCGCCCGATTTGGGTCGTCACATTTGTTGCATTGATTGTTGATTGTGGGGCAGCCCTGTGGTAGCCCCAGCAAATTGATCACCGCGGCCAGAAGCGCCAATTAAAGAAATATTTCCAGTTCTATCAATTTGGAGTATTATAATGTATTTTACTTGCCATGAAAAAAAGTCAGGCTCTTTTATAGGATCGATATGAAAGGAGGGGCATAATGAGGAAAAATGACAGCTGAAAAAAGTCTTTGACTAGTCCCACAAAAAAGGGGGAGTTGTCTCAACTTCAAATTTTGTTTCGGGGGTTGGATTGGGGGTTTGGTGAGGTAAGGGTGGGGTTGGGTGGAGGGTTAAGGTCCATTAGTTTAATACCAGCCTTACAATGATTTTTTTTAAATTCTAAATTAAAAGTAAAATTTTATATTCAGAAAAAAGTCGGGGGGGGGGGGGGGGAGTAGGATTGGGTGGCAGACCTTCTGCACCCCTACCCCAACAGCCACCTCGATTCAAGATGATATATGTTTGAATGTTAAGTGATGTTAAGTTCACTTGAGTCGAATTCGGGTGCAAGTGAAATAGCTTTTCAAAACTATTTGTATATATTTGAAATATCCCAATCTGTTTCAGTCCAATATGTAGAAAAAATATATCCATATAATCACCTTGAAGGTCACATGCAGGTGAATATCGTGTAGTATTTTTTTCTTCAATGTTGGCTTTTAGCCAATCAGAGAGATGTGAATTATTTAATCATATAATAAATAAATTTACCTATGTGTGTGTGTGAGAGAGAGGGTGTGTGTGTGTGTATGTGTGTGTGTGTGTGTGTGTGTGAGGGTGCATGTGCGACCTTGAGTGAATAACAGAGAGAGAGAGAGAGAGAGAGAGAGAGAGAGAGAGAGAGAGAGAGAGACCATTATATCGAAGACGTTCCTTCGATTATCGCCGATACAAGATAAAATTGCAGTCCTCTGGGCTTCTGTTTGCTCCATTTCAACCTGAAATAGATTTTATTATCATTCCAATAACAACGTGTCACTTTGTTTAATGGAGCGTGCTAAAATTTTAAATGTTGATTTCAATGAAATACACACCACTTTGAATATGAACAGAGAAACCAGCAACAGCCTTTGACTGACAACGTTTTGCTCGCTTTTACAAATGTCGTAGTTGTAAATAATCATTTAATTTGATTGGTTAGAATTATCAGTGTATTACTGGGTTCAATATTTTATATGCGAAGTAGTATTCATTTCATTTAAATCAAACATCTAATCGATGAGAATTATGGTGATCAACATTTGAAACTTAAGCACGCTCCATTAAACAAAGTTAAATAGCACGCTCCATTTAACAAAGTGACGCTCTCTTATTGGAATGATAGCAAGATAAACATGCATAGCGTGTACCTATATATGACTGCACTGATTAGAAATCAAATTAGAGTAAAAACTGATAAGTTACAGTTGAGAAGATTCCGTAAAAACTGGAATTTTATTAGAAAATCATCAATGTCAGCGTTTAATGATATCCTTCTTCTACACCAAACCCTTGACAAAAGTCGCTCTTTAAATATGGGTCTAGAAAACTACGTTTTCATTTGTTCCAGGTCTAGGACTGGAACCAATCAGAAAACAGCCTTATTGATGGTAAGT